CCGACAAAAATGAGGCTTACAAGCTAAGAAGGAGGTCAGCCCATTTCCTCTTCATCGATGACATTCTCTACAAGAGAAGTTTCTCCTCTCCACTTTTACGATGTGTCGGAGGGGAGGAGGCTACATACATACTAAGGGAAGTCCACGAGGGAGTGTGTGGCAACCACTCTGGAGGCCTATCTCTGGCACAAAAAATACTGAGACAAGGATACTACTGGCCTACCCTGAAACGGGATGCCCTCGAATTTGTGCGAAAATGTGATAAGTGCCAACGATTCTCTCCCGTTCAAAGGCGACCATCACAGGATTTGACTGCAGTCTCCAGCCCCTGGCCTTTCTCAAAGTGGGGTGTGGACCTCATAGGCCCTCTGCCAAAGGGTAGAGGAGGCGCAAGTTTTGCAATAGTGGCCATTGATTACTTCACGAAATGGGTCGAAGCTGAACCACTGGCAAAAATCACAGAAGCAAACACCTCCAAGTTCCTATGGAAGAATATCATTTGTCGGTTCGGAATTCCCTACTCGATCGTCTCAGACAATGGCAGGCAATTCGATAACAAGAAGGTCAGAGAACTGTGTGAAGATCTTGGCATAAAGAAGCACTTCTCTACACCTCACCACCCACAAGCCAATGGCCAGGTCAAAGCCGTAAACAAGACAATCAAGCACGTCCTGAAAAGGAGGCTTGATGTGTCCAAAGGAGCTTGGGTTGATGAGCTGCCCCAAGTACTTTGGGCAATCCGAACCACCACCAGGACCCCAACCGGGGAGACCCCATTCCTCATGGCTTATGGGACTGAGGCGATGAGCCCCGTGGAGGTCGGACTCCCATCTCCACGACGTCTGCACTTTAGTGAAGTGACCAACAACGAGCTCCGGAGGCTAGACCTCGATTTCATTGAGGAAAGGAGGGACGACTCCCAGCTGAGGTTAGGCACATACCAAAGGAAGATGACAAGGTACTTCAACTCCAAAGTGAAGAAGAGGTCTTTCCGAATCAACGACCTTGTGCTCAGGAGGGTCTTTCCATCTTCAAAAGATCCCGGTTCCGGCTCCCTGGGACCGAGCTGGGAAGGTCCATACAAGATCAGAGAAGAAATCCGACCTGGGACCTATTGGATTGAAGACATGGACGGCAAGGCACAACCCCGTCCATGGAACATTGAACACCTCAGAATCTTTTATCAGTGAATTGGATCATGCTGGATGACTTTCCCTGCCTTTGTAATATTTTTGTGGCTCAATAAAATGCGTTGATTAAATCGCCATACTACTTTAATAACCTCGGAGGAGAGGCTCGGGACCCACCACTGGGCCACCTCGCTTGGACTCCGAGGCTCTAGCACATGCCTCCCTTTCGGCCTTGCTGAACGCCAAGGGGAGAAGCCTCAACATGGCTGCACCATCCACAATGTCTGGGATGCGTCGTAACCTCGGAGGAGAGGCTCGGGACCCACCACTGGGCCACCTCGCTTGGACTCCGAGGCTCTACCACATGCCTCCCTTTCGGCCTTGCTGAACGCCAAGGGGAGAAGCCTCAACATGGCTGCACCATCCACCATGTCTGGGATGCGTCGTAACCTCGGAGGAGAGGCTCGGGACCCACCACTGGGCCACCTCGCTTGGACTCCGAGGCTCTAGCACATGCCTCCCTTTTGGCCTTGCTGAACACCAGGGGGAGAAGCCACAACCTTAAGTCCAAGGCTCCAACAAGTTTCCTTAAGTTATGTTCATTTTCTTAAGTCCGAGGCTCCAACAGATCTTAAGTTGTGTGCATTTTCTGCTTAAGTCCGAGGCCCATACAGTTATTTAGTTCGTGCGCTTATCAACTTCCAGTTCGATTGTTTAAACGAGGCAAAACTTGGATAAAGAACAATCACGAATGAAGAAAAACATTATATTAATATTTAAAAAGGATTACAACGGAGGGCCTCTGGCCATTACACAAAGTACTGAAAAGGAAAACCTAATCTAAACCTGGCTGGATGAAGGCGGCGCCTCAGCACATGGGGGTTCGGCAACCTGGGCATCAGTGGTTGCATCCCCTGCCTCAGCATCTGGGGCTTCGGCATCAGCTGCCTCTTCACCCTGCACCTCCTCAGCTGGGGTCTGAGGAACCTCATCCACAAATTCAGACCTAAGTTGTGCCAGGTCCAAGTTTGGATAAAGCTCCTCTGCCCTCTCCAGCACTTCGGCATAGGCGAAGTTCCTCCAGTACGCGCTGAAGCTTTTATACTCCTCTGTAGTGTGCCAACAGTGACAAGTTCCTTACCCGAAGTGGACTCCATCGTTTGAGGACAAAGAATAACAACGGTTTTTTATGCAAACAATACCTAAAAGAGTTCAACACAAACGGAGACCGGTCGGAATCTAATCGCAGACAACCTCAACGTCGGAAAATAGGAGATTTGAGAGAGTTTGAGAATGCAAAGTGCTTAAAATTTCTGGAAAGTAGAATTCTCTCGCCTTTTATAAAGATCCAAGGCAAACCCCATCCGTCAGATCAAATCTCAGTCAATCCGAGCCCTCCGTTTCAGATCCAATCCGAGGCGTTGAATTCAAACAGTCTTTGAAATCCTACGCCTCCTATCTATGCGTACCTCGCACGCACCTCTCCAGCGCGTCTGCTTCTCGAAACGCCGGCTGCCCTCATAATTGCATCTTTAATTCGTCGGCGCCAGCTCATTGGAAGTCGTAACGGTTCAGCTACCTTTCATCGAAAACAAGCACAAAACATCAAATCATTGGCACAGAGACCGAAGCATAATCATTACATTGGGCCTCGGCTCCTCATACGCCATTCAGCATTTAAGCCTCGCAGGATCGGTTTCACACCACCTCGGCTCCTCATACGCCATTCAGCATTTAAGCCTCGCAGGTTCGGTTTCACACCACCTCGGCTCCTCATACGCCATTCAGCATTTAAGCCTCGCTGGTTCGGTTTCACACCACCTCGGCTCCTCATACGCCATTCAGCATTTGAGCCTCGCAGGTTAGGTCCCCCAACCACCTCGGTTCTTCAGCATAAACCTACACCAAAACTTCTCCAAACTCCAATCATGATATAAATATCTATACTTGAACTTGGTGGACTATTATTTGGGGGTTCAAAAAAAAAATTTTTTACTCTAAAGTCCACGCATTACATTAATGATTATACTTGGACTTGGGGGACTATTGTTGCGTGTTGTCATCCCTGTCCTACCCACCTGGGCCAGTGGCCCACTCATCCTGATCCACGTGGCATTCCTGCCGAGGTGGCCCATATTGCCGAGGTGGGTTATATCCGAGCTGCTTCTAACCGAGGCCCATGGCCCGAGGCTTGGAAGCCTTTGGTTGTAGCTGAGGTCCTCAAATGGACGAAGCCCCGAAGTTGATGCGCGAGCCTCAACCACAAGCATCCTCCATGGTCACTTCTCCCAAGAGATCGCCTGCACGGATCTTATTCGAATGATTGATGGAATGTCTGTCATAAGCATAAAGGTCAAGTCTTGTCACTAGCATGGAGGCCCTGCACAAGCAATAAATGCGCCGTAAGCTAGCAAGTCAAGCCCCATATCTAGGAAAAGATGTTTGGACTAAAGAGATGAGGCCACGTGCCACTATGACCAAGGGCTCCCATTTCATATGCATTACTATAAATACTTCCATTGTGTAATATCAAAAGGCTAATGCAAGAACCAATACTAAAAACTACATTTTACTCAACTCTCTCCCATTTACTAGCAATACACAAATCGAGTTTATACATTTTTGCGTATACATCTACGAGCACCGGTTGGTAATTATTGTACAATCGGATTACGAACAACCCGTCGGATCCCGAACGTTACCGTCCCGCGTCGTTGGGCTACTCCCACGCCCCTTTGAACCGCTCATTTAAACCGTCCACGTGTCTTAGCGTGTTGGACATTCGCCCACGCAAGCGCCGGTGGGACCGGCATCTATTGGCACACTTTTTGGGGTCAACAGTAACGTTAATGCAAGAAGATATAAAGCTTTGTGCTTTTAAACAACCAAAGCTAAATTCAAAAAATTATAAAAAGAAGGGAACGGAAGGTACCTTGATCATTTCTTCGTGAACGCCGAGGTGGGCGTAGGAGTGGAAGTATGCCATGTCAAAGCCCGTACAAGAATTGGAAGCCCCATCTGTAGCCGTGTCCTCGTCCTCCTCCTTTTGCTGTTGCACCATCCTATTTGAAACCCTAAGATTTGATCCACTGCCATAGTCTCGTGACCTGCTGCTGCAACCCCTCCTGAGCCGATGCGCGGCAACATGAGTGCCGCCACTACCATTACCACTACCACCACCGTGGTGATAGCCATTGCTGTAGCCACTACTACTCGTCGATTGGAACATAACTTCTCTCTTCGGCTGCTCTGAGCTCGACATACAGACACTGGAAATGCAAACGTTCCCTTGCGGCGGAGGCCCATGCTAAATATTTGTGGAAAATTGCAATGTTGGTCCTTACTCTTTTCCCACTTGTCCCTAAAACTTCCCCACCTCCAAAATGGTCAGTGCCACCTAGTGTTGTTGCTACTTTTTTTTTTTTTTGGTAGTGCTAGTCTTGGACTCAAACCATCTCAAATCCTATATCAAAATTTACACCATTTCGCACTAAATTTTGTATCAAATCTAACACCAAATTAAAAATCATTCCGAATCCATTACACAAAATGAACAATGTTTAATTATTTTCTTGAGTTTTTCCATTCTTAACGATTTATTTATTTATTTAATAAACTACTACATAACTTACTAACCCAATAATTACAATTTGTTAACGAAAATATTGAATTCATTAATAAATTTAAAAAATGTAGTACAAATGATAATAATAATAATAATAATAATAATAATAATAATAATAATAATAATAATAATAATAATAATAATAATAATAATAATAATAATAATAATATTAATCATCAGTATTAAAAAAATTATTATTATTATTATTATTTGTTTAAAAAATTATACGAATACCCTCAACTAAAATTTGGTTCAACAAGGAAAAGAAGGGCAAAAATGATATTAACCATTTTGCACCATTCTGGTGCTAATTATTGTGTTGGTTAGAGAGGACTTTCACCAAAATTTTGGTGCAAAATGGGGAAAATAGTGAATGGTGTAAGGATTAGAGATGCTCTCACAACTAAAACTTGTGTCAACACCGCATATTTTGGCTCTACAATCCTCTCACCATTTTCATTTTTCAATCTTCCTCTTCTTCCTAATTACTCTGCGATTCTATCATCCATAACATTTAGACCTGTTTCTAAGCCTTCCATAAGTTTCCCAATTCACAAAATTCCACACCCTTTTCAATTATTTTTGAGCAATTAGTGGCAAATGGACAAGTGAGCTGACAATTTTACTCGAAAAGCCTTTGACCAGTTAAATTCTCATTAAGATATGTGAAAAATGAAAAACTCAAACTATCCAATATACGCTTCCTTTAATCCCAAAGGATATGAATTCATAAAGATCATAAAGAAAACTTTATCATCACTGACCACAAAACCAAAGGCTCTTTCACACCAAATCATGGATGAACTATTCTTTGCCATTAGAATGATCTAAAAACAAGTGCAAGAAGTCTTATTTCAAAGGTTAGCATCCAAATCTGACTTGTCTAATTTTTCATACTTGTACCATTTTTTCCCTTAGTTCATTTAGGTTAAAATTTGTGAATTTATATTATAAAATGTTATTAGCCACTGGCCGGTATACATTTTGACGAGACTCTTGAACTAGTTCTCCCGTAATTTGTTGATTCTTAGAAATCAAAATTACTATCAATCTGCTATTTTGTAAATAGACCATTTGAAATCTAAATGAATTAATCTACACATATATTCGTGAGGACCCAATGAATGTAAGATACTCAGTACTGTAACGTTTGTTACGTCTCACGTTATAAGGCCCCAAATATTCTACGTGGCAAGTAAGCGTGGCCCCACCGCATTAAAGCATCAGGAGGTAGCTTTGATCAAACCCCATGGAGTGACCAAATCAATATGTTTGCCTACCCATTAGATCATACAGACCCCTTTGGGAAAATTTGAACTGCGAGGGAGGTGAGGTGCAGAAGAAGTTCAGCACAAGATCTTTCTGAAGATCTATAGTATGTGATTGATGCGACAATTCACTGCAACCGTCGCCATTTTCAACCCATCGAGTCAAGTCTAGAGCTCCAAGCTAGGCATTATGAATAATCAAATGGTATCAGTATTTAATGTTATGATTGATTGATGTCTTCGAGAAGAGGTATCACCTATACGGATGAGGTTACAGAAGAAGTTCGACACAAGATCTTTCAGAGAATCTTTGGTATGTGATTGATGTGACAATTCATTGCAACCGTCGCCATTTTCAACCCATCAAGTCAAGTCTAAAGCCCCAAGCTGGCCATTATAAATAATCAAATAGTGATAGTATCTAATGTTTTGATTGATTGATGTCTTCAAGAAGAAGTATTAGCTGCACGGATGAGGCCGCGTGACTCTTCATCCAACGACTCCTATTAACCTTTTTTACTATGAAAGCTCACCCATAGTACCATTTCAAGATAATGCAAATTAGACTCTCATGCTATTACTTAGCCATATTACAATTTTATCTATCAATCCCCAAAGTCGACCCCCTTTTTACGTTGGAGGTTCACGTAAAAGCTTTCCTACACTCATATATTTGCTTTCTAACTAACTTGACCGTTGGAGTGCGCGTGGCCACCTTTATCCCCATCAAAAGGCAGCTACATATGACTAACGATTTGTCTAAGTGTATATGAATTAGGCTTGAATAGACATGAGAGGCCTGGATCTACCGGCCACGTTAGAAATACAAAATTCGAGGTCAACGAATTGACGCCATCTATGAAAAACGAAACTATAACCACGAGCATCCCCGTGGTGAAGGCTATCGGAAAAGTTATCTATTCCACAGCCCAACCTTGAAGAAAGGTCCTTGTTCTTGGAGAAAGAATGGCTGAGAAAACCAAAGAGGTGTCACTAAAAGTCCCGTTCGACATAAAAGCTATTGTTAGACCATGAGCTCTAACTACTACGATTTTCACGATAGGAATCGACAAGAGAAGGCTTCTAAAGAATAAGAGTCATGACAATTGTCATATTCATCAACCCCACCACTAGCATCGACGATGCGATAGTACTACTGCACACCTAGCAAGAGAGGCAGGAAAGATGGCTACGAATATGAGAAACGTAACCCAGCAAATGCTGTCATGCAATGATAATAGCACAATTTGTCATGTTTTCATCCATTTATACTTGTATTTGCATGATATATTGATGTCTAAAAGTACTAAGTACCATTATATTTTGATTTAGATTGCAAATGGATGAATACGATGGAATTTAAAAGAAAAAAGCGAAAACGAACTAAAGTGGAAGAAAGTAAAAGTTCAGGGACCAAGTTGCAAATAATCTAAAGATGACACGGGCGATGGAATGATGATTCAAGAAAGCTAGGAGTCCATTGGGTGCAACTAGTAGTCAAAAGAAGTTAAATATTACCATAAAATTTTCACAAATCAAATTCCGATCGCATAAGGATTTTCCAGATTTTCAGCCAGAGATTGAGATCCACTTTTGACCAAGTAAACATTCAAATTTGGAAAGAGCTGTTTTGTCAAAAAAATTTAGCCCTTTGTGTTAGCTTTTCAACACACTTTGAATTGCCTTAATTAGATATCAGGAGAAAAAGTTATGGCCAATATACTGAAATCAGTAGCACAAAACAATTTTTGGCCGAATGTTCAAGTTTCCTTATTCCGTTCAACCTCTTTTAGAAACAATTTGGCATTCGATTTTATGCCCTAATTCGACTAGAACACACCTCCCCTCATCTCCCATCCCTTTTCTCTCATTTTGAGCACAAGAACTCCATGGAAACCTAGATTAATCGTTGAAGTCACGAAATAACTCAGTTAGATTTGGGAATTTCAATATCTTTTATTGCGTGTAAGGTGTTTTTCATTGTTGAACAATTCTAAATCTGAATTTCTTATGTTATTGGATATGTTTTGAAATTGGGTTAATTCACTCTTGTTTATGAATTCAATCATATTTTCTTTATTGAATAATCGAAATGTTTATTGATTTTCAATTTCAAACAATTTATTGGTGTGATTCTTTACCATTATATGCTTGAAGTACATAATTTCTTTGGGATCTAATTTCAATAAATCATTGTGGAATTATATTTTGAAAGAAATCTGGATTTGAAATTACTAAAGAAATTAAATAAGTGTTTGAATGTTTTATTTTCCAATAAAAGTGTTGGGATGAAAAATTTTAATTGAGTATTCTCATGCAAAATTGACATTGATTGAACCCATTTAATCGAGGAAATTTCAGCACTTCACTATTTCATACATTGATATTAACTCTTTATTCCAATTGCTAAATCATCATCACATAAAATCACGAAAACCCTAGTTTGTTTGATCATTATCTCTCTGTGGAATCGACACTCCGAAATTATACTACAATCACCACATTATTCTTTGGGCGCAATCATGCAACATTTTCTCATGTAAATGCAAGAGTAAGCTAGATATCAAATGCCTCAATAAAAGGCTTTCCAACAAGAAAAAAAGAGGATAACACGGGAGCTTACTCCTAGAGAAAAAAGAGTGAACCTAGCCTTACTAAAAAAGAAGTGGAGGTGGACATGTCAACAAATTACACTTCTAGCCAACTCGATAACAACTTACCACAAGGAGCCAAAAAAAAAAAAAAACTCTGTTTACTAAATGTGCAAACCGCAAGTACACGGATTGCGTTAAAGTAATAAAGTGAACTTTTTGAGTCCGGATTATCAATCCCTGAAGGAATGTATACTTTCAATTACATAATTTTAATTGATTTAATTCTTAAAATAAAAAGAAATACACAGTAAATATTTGATTTTGGAAAATGACTAAAAATCTACAAAATAAGGAAATATAAAAATATTAAAAAACTTGGAAGAAAACGTGGTTAGAATTCATGATTTCGCTTAATCGTCACTTACTTAATTTCTTCACAAGCCAATTAACAAATTTCTCATTTACAATGTTAGATGCGGTCTTTCAATTTTAAGTAATTACCATTCTCAAGCAAAATTAACCCTAATTAACTAATTTAACTACTATATCTTTATATCAATTAAAACCAAACGGCCGCATTAAATATTTATGAAAATAACTCAATGAGTCACCTAGGGATAGGGGTATATTTCTATCTCCTACATAAATCTAGAGTTTCTACTATTTGGTCTAAAATACACAATTTTCTCTCGAACAATATAAAAATACTAACACAATCCTTCATTAGCCACATAAATGAAAATACAATAATAACAATAATAAAAACACCGAAGATAAGCATTTTAATATTAAAAAGTAAGTATTAAAATTAATTAAGGCTAGGTAAATTTCAGCCATAAATCCCAATACAAATTACTA